TCTGTTAAATTCTCAGCTCCTTTCCTTCCTTTCCACTTTTTCTTTTTTTGCAGTACAGGGGGTTAAACTTGGCTTTATACATTTAAGGCAAATGTACCTCTCCGATGCAATCCCAGCTCCTCAAAACCAGGGACATCTTTCTCACTGCAGGCGTCCTCAGTGCTCAGTGACTTGATAAGTACTTGTCCATCTTTAATTCCTAGTGCTCAGCATGGCACAATAAGTGAGTTCAGCGGGTGTTTACTGAATGAGTGTTGCTGAGATAATGTGTTTTGTGAGGTGCTTTAGGAAGCTGTGTTCCCCCCCCAACCTGAGGACTGAACGGTAGTTTTTGGTCGATTGACCAGCACGTGTCATGAAGGATGGGGGAATCACCCACAAGATTTTCTCCCGGCTTTTGTTTCTTCTCTACAGGCATGGTTTGCAACTGGACCCCAGCCCAGACCAGGAAGGCAGCCTGCATCATGAGGTTACAAATTGCTCGTCCTTTACCTGTTGATGCCTCCCAAAAAGAGACAGCAAAGACAGTCACACAAAGCCCAGCTGCAATTCCACCATCAGCCACTGGAGGGCCCCAAACATCATGAATCTCTCCAGCGACCCATTACCCACACTGTACGAGTGCCCAGCAAGCCCATTGATCAGGGCACCATCACTTCCTGGGTAGGTCCTTTGACCTTTACTGTGTTAGGCTTTTCAGAATACTGACTCTTTATCCTTGTGGAGCAGGGACAGGAAAGCAGATACTCTTTCTGGTTGTGGTAACCTGACTTATCTAATTTTCTTTTTTTTTTTTTTTTTCTTTTTTTTTTGGTTTTTTCGAGACAGGGTTTCTCTGTGGTTTTGGAGCCTGTCCTGGAACTAGCTCTTGTAGACCAGGCTGGTCTCGAACTCACAGAGATCCGCCTGCCTCTGCCTCCCGAGTGCTGGGATTAAAGGCATGCGCCACCACCGCCCGGCCTTATCTAATTTTCTTAGTTCAGATCAAAATACATGTTATATGGAACTGGAGTCTTCCCTGCCAGGTTCTTCTGAAAAAGTTCTGAGGGACTATTTCACTACCCAGTAGCTGGGTGAAAAAACTAGAAAAATGGCAAGCTTCTAAATGAGATTATTTCCTGTAACTCACGTGGGAAGTACTAGGTATTCTATGGTTGAATGAACTGAACGTTAGGGAGAAAATCCTACAAAAATGGCATTATGAGGCACACCTGTAATCCTAGCATTTGGGAGGCTGAGGCAGAAGGCCAGCCTGGACTGCATGGTAAGATTGTCTTAAAACGTGTGTGTGGGGGAGAGGGGGGAGCTGGAGAGATGGCTCAGAGGTTAAGAGAACTGACTGCTGTTCCGGAGGTCCTGAGTTCAATTCCCAGCAACCACATGATGGCTCACACCCATCTATAACGAGATCTGGTGCCCAGAACGCTATATACATAATAAATAAATTTTAAAAAAGTGGGGGGGATCCATAAGCACTGATTGGATAAACATACAGTACTAGATCCCTTTTCTGAACACTGTCTCACTTCCTAGTTCTTGTGGCTGCCATTCACTGTTTGCCAGACACTCTGCTGGACGTTGGGGATGAGTCTGTGGGTCCCCGCCCTACTGAGGGCTTTGTTCTGCTGAGGTCTGAACTGCTGAGTGTGCCGAGCGTGCTGAGTTGTGGGTTCTACCCCCTGGATCCTTCCAGCCCTGCTCTCGTGAAGTTTAACAACAGACTGTTAAATAGCCATAGTGGTGTCGTGTGGTGACAAGAAATACCTTGTCTCCTCTCTGAGAGGCAGAGGGACAGAAAAACCAAAGCTGTTTTCTTATTAGTGCCTCACGTAGCTGGTTGGCTTGGGGTCCTTTCGCTGTAGCGAATCCTCATGATTCTGAACAAAACTAAAGAAGGATTCTGCTCACTGGATAGTTTCTCTGGTAGTTGACCCACTGCCCTTTTTGTCTTTTTATGCACAGGTCTTACCTCAGTTTGATACAACAGCTGAAAGCCAGCTTCCAGCACACCGGAAACGCCGCCCCCAAGACCAGACAAAACAATTAACACGAAGATCTACCTGCAAGTTCCCACGGCTAACCTTTGAGAGTCCACGGGTTTCCAGTTCAGAGACAGTGATATCCTTGAACAGAGACGAGCCCTGCCAGTCAGAAAAGGACACTCCCAGAAGGCCTTTAGTGCCACTGCTCAGTCCCCAGAGCTGTAGGGAGCTGTCAGTGCACGCCCCTCAAAGCTTACCTCATGTGTTCACACCCCCTGATATCCACACCCCGGGGTTGTCTGTGAGAGAAGAACCTGCTTCCCCCGATCAGAAGGAAAACAGTCTTCCAGGCTGCATCCTGGGCCCTGGAGCTCCCAACAGCCCAGAGCCCGGACCTGTTCTGGTCAAGGACACCCCTGAGGAGAAGTATGGGTTAAAGGTCACGTGGAGGCGCAGAAGGCACCTGTTTGCCTACCTCAAGGAGAGAGGGAAGCTGGACAAGAGCCAGTTCCTCGTGAAGATGTGAGTGGATGTCACAGGTGTCATCTCAGCTGCTGATCGCCGTCATTCCCAGCCTCACGTCCCTGGCTTGAAAGGGTGACTTGGAGTGAGCACCAGAGGGAGGAGGACTTAGCTGCAGGCCTGGCGCTGGAACTCGGTTTCTAGATTTGCTGGTTAAGCCCCCTCATATGAGGAAGAGTGGATTTAGTGTCATGAACTGTTGGTAACTGTTTGAACCTCTAGAGTACCTTGCACTGTTTACGATGTTTGTAAATAAATGGCTGCTCTGTGTGTCTAGAGAACCCCGCTTTTGTCAATAATGCAGCAGTGTGGCCCATCTATGAAAAGCTCTGTGCTGGTAGTCTTTTATCCCAAACTTATTTCTTTCCGTATTTTTTGTTGCTGATCATGAGGCTCAAAGACAGCGTCCACTGATGGAGAAAATCAGAGTGGTTGACAGCTGCCTTTACAGCTTTGACTTTTCTGTCCAAAGGGCCACAACCCTGTATTCATGAATACATTGAGGTCAAGGGAGGTTTGTGTTTTGAGATTGTTTTACAGTGAAAAATATGCCAGCAGAGCGGTGGTGGCGCATGTATTTAATCCCAGCACTCGGAAGGCAGAAGCAGGTGGATCTCTGTGAGTTTGAGGCCAGCCTGGTCTACAGAGTGAGTTCCAGGACAGGCACCAAAGCTACAGAGAAACCTTGTCTCAAAACAAAAAAAAAAAACAAAACAAAAAGCCAATATTATAGTCATATGGTGAGGAAGTGGGGAAGTGGATTCTTCTTTCTTTTTTTGGTCTGTTTTTGTTTTTTGAGACAGTTTCTCTGTGTAGCCCTGGCTGTCCTGGAACTCACTCTGTAGACCAGGCTGGTCTCACAGAGATCCACCTGCCTCTCAGATGCTGGAATTAAAGGCATGCACCACCACTGCCAGGCTGGGAATGGATTCTTTTTTCTTTCTTTTTTTTTTTTTTTTAAGATTTATTTATTATGTATACAGTGTTCTGCCTGCATGTATGACTCCAGGCCAGAAGGGGGCACCAGGTCTCATTACAGATGGTTGTGAGCCACCATATGGTTGCTGGGAATTGAACTCCAGACCTCTGGAAGAGCAGTCAGTGCTCTTAGCCTCTGAGTCATTTCTCCAGCCCCATAATGGATTCTTATAAGTAACTGTGTGTACGTAAAGTAGAACATTACCTCTGCTAACAAGTGCCTCAGTGGTCCTATTGCCCATACACATAGCATCTCTTTCAGCTCTTCTCATTTAACACCCAGCCCCTGCTGGGCCAAGCAGAGCTTATGCTACCCTTTATATGGGTGAGAATTTTTTTTTTATATATTATTCCTTGGTGTTTTTGGATTTATTTATTCATGTATATGTGTGCTGTCTTCATGCACAGAGTCGGCATCAGATCCCACTATGGTTGTGAGCCACCACGTGGTTGCTGGGAATTGAACTCAGAACCTCTGGAAGAGTAGTCAAGTGCTCTTAACCACTGAGCCATCTCTCCCGCAGCCATGGGTGAGAATTTGAAGTGCAAAAAACGAAGCAATCCAGGGAGGGGACTAAGGGAGTGCAATGCTCTAGTCTATTTATGTACTGTATTTCCTAGATTTCAAAAGTTAATTCCTGGGGCCTGGAGAGGTGGCCCAGTGGTTATGAGTCTCAGATGTCCAGAAGGCACAGGTTCTGACAGCCCTGGCCACCAGGGATGCATATGGTATGCAGACATACATGAAGGCAAAACATCCGCACACATAAAATAATAGCCTTAGACTTGGTGGCCCATGCCTGTAATTCCAGCACTAGGGGGCAGAGGCAGTCTATAGTGAGATCTTGTCTCTGAATAAAATACTTTTTTTTTTTTTTAAATTTTAAAGTGAAAATTTGGATTCAATATCAAAGTGGTAACTTCGGCCTTACTAACCAAGTCTACATGTAGTAGGTTTGGTCAGAAAGTCCTATAGGGACCAGAACCAGACAGGATCTGATGCCTGGAGGCATGAATTCACTGCAGAGGGCAGGTTTAGCAGCCACCCTTACGGGATAAGGATATGCGAAGACAGTCCCCACGTAGGGGTCCTTCAGTCGTTTAGGAGAGAGGGCTGGTGTAGAAGGGCATCCCGGAGCGGGTCAGACTTCGAGGCTTCTGGTGGCAGAAGTTCACAAATCCCTGGACCACAACCCTGGCAGCCACTCTGGGTGTTCTCCTCGCTACAGCGCGGCTCTGGGAGTGGCTCTGTGGAGGCGGCCGCTGACTGGAGCAGCTGGAGACACCCCGAGGGTCAGCTGGGTCCCAGCCCCGGGTGAGGGGGTGGGAGGTGCACCCCGCTCCGGCGCACGCGCCTTCGCCTCCCGGTGTCTCCCGCCCCCTGGAAACCCTCCAGCTTCGCGGCTGGCGCCATTAGCCAGTGAGAAGGGAGCGGCGGGCACTGGACCAATGGGCGTCGGCGACAGTGCGGGGTGTGGTTGCCAGGGGCTGGGCCCGACCTCCTCCATCCTCTCCAGCCTGGCGGCCGCAAGTCGGGGTCTGGACTCTGATGCCACCGGCCGGGCGGGTATGGAGGCGGCGCGCTGCGCACCGGGACCTCGCCCGGACAGGTCAGGGGCCGGGGCCAGGGCTGCAGAGGGGCGGGGAGGGGTCTCCCGGCTGGGTAGGCGAGGACCGGGACCAGGATCGGGTCTCCAAGCTGGGCAGGCGCTGAGCATCCCGCGCCGCCAGCACACTCTCGTGCCGCTCCCTTGGAGTTTGCCCCGAACCAGCGCGCCCTGCTCCCCCAGGGTCTCCGATTTCCTCACTGGCAGTGCGTTCGCCCTTTACCGTGTCTCTCTGGAGCAGAGTCAAAACTGAGGTGGAACGAGGTCCCTCCCGGGAGTCGAAGCGGAAGGTCGCGGGTGATGGTTAATTGGTTCCAAGGCCGTTGCTTTTGGCAGTCAACGCGGAATTCTGGAACGGAGTGCGAGGACTGAAAATGCAAAACTGCTCTTTTCTTTTTTTTCTATCGCTCCCCCACCCCCGCCGCCGGCTTTCCTTTCTTCCTTTGAGTTCCATAGTTCTCTTAGTTAAGCTCCGTCTTAGTTTAGACTGCTTCATACGTCTTGTTTGTGCCCCCTGTTTCTCTGCTGAGACCCCTCTTTTTGCCCGGTCCACAGGGTGAGCCTGGGAAATCAAATGGGTTGCAGTCTCAGACTGTTCCTTTCTCGTCAGCTGGGCTAACGAAAAGTTAATGTGTGTGTGTGTGTGTGTGTGTGTGTGTGTGTGTGTGTGTGAAATCATTGGCTCAAAACTTTGACATTGTCTGAGGGTTGAAACCAAACATTTCAACTACATTCTTCGTTCACCATCCCATCACCACGGCAAATAAAGACTGGGCGTGTAAGGATTTAGTCTGATGTTTAAACTAGTATTTAACTGATTCGAAACCATCTTTTAAAAAAAGTCACAAAGACGTTGGAGTATAATACCCCCCTCCTCCAAGGTCGATCTCAGGCGGACTAGGCTCGCCTCAGACTTGGTAATGAGGATGACTTTGAACTTCGGATCCTCTACCTCTGACTGGGCTGTTTTGGTCTTTCATCAGGTAAATTCTACAAACATGATAGCTGTTACACCCTCCCCATTTTGAGAACAACAAAAAAATATATATTTGCAAGTATAGGGTCTGGTTATTTAAAGTTGGCATTCAGTGTCTCTGTTTAAGATGTACGCCGGGCGGTGGTGGTGCCGGTCTTTTAGTCCTAACACGCAGGAGCCAGAGGCAGGCGGATCTCTCTTAGTTCCCGGCCAGCTGGTCTACAGAGTGAGTTCCAGGACAGCTAGGGCTACACAGTGAAACACACTGTCTTGGGGCGGGCAGGATTTAGTTTTATGAATTTAGAGAAGTAAATTTTATGGGGCTATGGTTTTATTTTTATCCCTTTCTGTTGTTTTGCCTTTTTGTTTATTTTGTCTTGAGACAGGTCTTATGTAGCCTCTGGTCAGACTGGAACTCTCCATCTAAACCAGGCTGGCCTTGAACTCATTTAGGGCTGTCTGCCCCAGCTTCCCATGACTCGTGATTTTAGGGAACAAGAAGGACTTGACTCTGAAATTGGGGCCAGGTGGCGGCTGTTTTTTTTCATCTTCTGCACTTGAACCTTAAAGGTGTAATTTTTAAGTTTCCCCTCCTCTCCAATATTTTCTTCCAAAGAAACCAGCTCTTTAATTTTCAGTTGCCATCAAAGGGGACTCTGTGAGTCACGGTTTCTTCTGCCCTAGGTGGGAGACAGTGTAGCTTTTGCCACTCTTAGCTCATCTCTTGCTAAAAGGGGGTGCACGTCTGGCTTTTAGGTAGTCGTTAATATTGAGAGAGAGAGAGAGAGAGAGAGAGAGAAGACTGACTCTCAGGGCAATCCAGTAATCCAGGCTGGCCCCATACTCCAAACCCTTCTTTCCTAGCCTGCCAAGGGGCTCGTATGGTCATGGATCACCAGGCCTGGGTGTACTCCTGTCCTGTCCTGGTGTAACACTTTCTTGTTTTGTTGTGTTTCCAAGGTGGTCTTGTATAACTTGGACTTACCTTGAACTCTTAATATTCTGCTCCCACCTCCCTGCTGCCAGGATACCAAAGATAGAAGCCAGGGCTTCAAGCTTAACTCATTTTTTTTTTTTTTTTTTTTTATTTTTGAGACAGGGTTTCTCTGTGGCTTTGGAGCCTGTCCTGGAACTAGCTCTGTAGACCAGGCTGGTCTCGAACTCACAGAGATCCGCCTGCCTCTGCCTCCCAAGTGCTGGGATTAAAGGCATGCGCCACCACCGCCCGGCTTAACTCATTTTTTTAAAAAAAAAAAATTTAGTTATTATTGGCAGGCATGGTGCTCACATACTTTTAGTCCCCGTATGTGAGAGGCAGAGGCAGGCAGATCTCTGTGAGTTCAGGCCAGCCTGACCTACATAGTATATCTATTTTTTTAAGTTATTTATTATTATTAATGAATGGTGGTGGGTGTTATAGCATAAATATGGAAGTCAAAAGACAATCTGTGAAGTCAGTTTTGGGTCTGGGAAGGAAACTCTAGTCACCAGGTCTGCGTGTCAAGCACCTTCACTGCTGAGCCATCTTTCCAGTTCCTAAACTTTTGATGAAAGACTTGAATACAGATCTCCTAGTATTAATGCCTTTAGTTGTATGGGTAACAGCTAACCTTTAACTTTCCTGTGGTTTTTCCCCCTTTGACTTATGTAGCTGTTTGGCTGACTTGTCTTTCAACAAACAGAGAGTATTAACAAGCGAATTTCAACTATTCTCCTTCTGTTGGAAACTGGAGGTAGACTGTAAAACCACACTCAGGAACTTTGCTGAGCCGAGACAGTTTGTGCTGCTGATTCCCTGGGGGTAGCAGGTTGCGAGCATTGGGGCTGACTGAACTTTTTGCTAGTGATGCTGGAGTTGGTGGTGTGGCTCAGGGTCAGAGCGCTTGCTTGGCGTGTCAGAGGCCTTAGGTTTGACCCCAGCAGTACATATGCACAGGTAGACTCGTTGGTATGTGTTGGTATGCTCGGCATGGTTATGCATAGCTGCAAGTTTAGAGTCAGCTTGGACTACATAGTGAGCCCCAGGCCAACCAGGGCTACACAGGGAGATCGTATCTTTTTTTTTTTTTTTTTTACTTTTATGATGATTCTTTGTGGATTTCACAGCATGTATTCTGATCTCACTTATTTCCCTGTCCCCTCACATCCGCCCTCTGCCCGTGTAACACATCCCAAAACAAAACCAAATTTAAAAGAAAAACTGAACAAAATAAACAAAACAGAAACAGAGAGAGAAAAACCAAACAAACAAAACAGAAATAGAGAGAGAGAAGAATCTTGTGTGGAAGCTGCAGTGTGTTCCCTTGAGTCACAGTTTACCCTGAAGTCCATTCATCTTTATTTGCAAGTGTTTGTGGCTACAGTCATTGACCTGGCTCCAGGCCTCTGGCTTCTGCTTGGCCACCTGCCACCGATAATGTGCTCTCCCTGGGGCTCCTCTTGGATGTTCTGTTGTTGTCTTGTGTTGGGGAGGTCCCGTTGTTTTGGATCTGTAGGTTCGTCCCCTTCACATGCTCCAACAGATCACAGGTGGGGTGAGTGTTGGACACTCATAACATAGTGTGGTTCTGGCCCTGGGTGGTAGCTGGGTTGGTTAGCCCGCCAGCTTTCCCTCCTAGTCACTCTTAGCACCACCCTGGCGAGTTTACCCAGTGCAGCCTACAGCAAGGAGCAGGGCCAGTAGGGAGACCCTAGCTTAGCCCTCTCCACAAATGTGATTTCCTTTTAGAAATAAAATCTGAAAGCTTGGTGTGGCCTGAAACCCAGTGCTGTGGGATCCGTGGGGCTGTTGGCTATCAGCCATCTCCAGGTTTAGTGTGAAACCCTGACTCAAACATGTATTCATAATTCATAGTTACACACACACAGAGACAAGACAGAAACACCCGGCTCAGGAGTTCATCAAGGTCACGTTTGGCTACTTAGCAAATTCAAGGCCAGCTTGGGCTGCGTGAGATCCTAACTTAAAAAGAGCCCTCTCCAGACTAGAGCGATGACTTCACTGATTAAGAGCACTTGTTGCTCTTACAGAACACCTGTGTTCAGATCCCAGCACACACGTAGTGGCTCACAGTCATCTATAACTATAGTTCTTAGGGACCCAAAGCCTCCTTCTGGCCTCCTCAGACACTTGGAGCATGGAAACAGGCAAAACACTCATACACGTAAAATAAGATGGAAAGGAAAATGGAAAGAAAATTTGAATATTCTTGACTGGAAACCATGCCTTGCCTAGTTTTGTCAACAGTGCCTACCGTGCAGGGCAGGTAGGTTTTGTTGGTTGGTTTGTTTGTTTGTTTGTTTATGGCTAAGGGCACAGCCATCCTAGACAGGAAAGAATATCCTGTAACAAGTTCCTTCTTGCCAGAGTCCTTTGCTCTAAGCAGAACGGTTTCTGGCTCCTTAGACTTTCCTGTGCAAACACTACCGTTTTCTTGGCCTTGGTGCCCATTGAAAGAACAAGTTAATGTTTGTTCTTAGCAGAGCAGCGAGAATGTTTGAATTGAATCCTCTGGGGAGGATGCGGAGCTGTGTCCAGCTGGGTGTTGGTTGGTTGGAGGGCCTAGATAATTCCTTTAGTTCCCCTGCTGGAGACCAGCTCCTCCAGAGAGCTGGGGCCTCTGACAAGCCACAGTCCCTTGGAAGTTGGTTCACCAGGGGTAATTTTCTGTTCCACATAATCTTGACTGCCTTGTCAAGCATCCTTCCTGGGCTTTTTGGTGTTTGTTTGATTTCTTTTTTTTAAGTTTTTTTTTATTTTTATGTACATGTCTGTGCAAGTTCTTAAGGAGGCCAGAGCAGTCAGATCCCCCTGGTGCCGAAGTTACAGCCTGATATAGGTACTGGGAAAGAGAACTGAACTTGGGACCTCTGCAAGAGCTATATACATGGTACTTTTAAATCTCTCCAGCCCTAAATGCTGCGTGCGTGTGTGCATGCATGTGTGCATGCGCATATGCGATGGAATCTCATTGTATAGATCAGGCTGATCTGTAACCCCTTTTTTAAAAAGTTACTACATTTATTT